CAGTAATTTGTAATCAGTATCTAATTATGTACTTAAATTGTGTTTTACTTATATATTTTCTCAGATTTTGGTGGTATTTACTTTTGTTTGAGTACGATGTAAAGCTTTAATTTTTTCACATTTGTTGTATTTATGATTTTTGGAGATTCTTTTAGAAATGTTTTATTTATTCCCTCTCTTTTGTTGTATGGGTGATTTTAACTTGTCTCTTAGGAAAACCTTTTTTTTTAGTACAGATTTTTGACAAACCTTAAATAATGGGGTACCTTAAAAACCTTAAATTAACTTCAAAAATGATAATTTCCTTAATTACCTCTTACCCCAATTGTAATGGCTAAACATTGTCTGTAGGCTTGAGATTTCTGCATATTTAGGATCCTTTGACACTCGATTAATCTCATTTATTTGATGTGTCTAACGAAAAGAAAATGTTGAGACAGCGTTTTTGTATAGATCCCCATCCCCTTGAAAAAAAAAATTCTTTGGGGGTATTCAGATCAAATAGTCAATATAGTGTATTCAGGCAGAGTAATTATATAGATTTGATAAGTTAAGAGTCCAGGTTTATGGTTGTCTTTATTATGCACATTCAGAAGTTCTATATGTTGTACTGAGAATAGGAATTAAAAATGCTATTTCCAATTTTATTGTACCTGTACAAATAACTTAAAAGTGATTTAACTTTGTATGAAACATTGTTACTTTTGAACATCTTTTACATTCACCCACAGAAAGTAGTTTTGCTCTTAAAATTGTTACATTCCCCCTTATGGAATTGCATATTCACATTCCTTGTGTGGTTTGTATTTCGTTCTGAATTTCTCAGGGGTAAAGAGATATTATATAATGGGGTTAGAAAGTATAATAACATCTTAAATATCTATATCTGGATGTATCCTGGCATTCTTATGTATCTAGAACTATTTTATATGATATAATCACCGAATTACAGTAGCAAGCTAGGATACATTTAGAATTTTTGAACTCTTCTATTTTTGTTGCATATGTTATACTATTCTGATTTCTTCCCTTGCTGTGAACATAGAATATACTTTGCAAGATTTTATTAAATAAATATAACACTGTTTCCTTCTTTTATAAGCCTTTACAATCTCTAAAGAAACTTCTTTGTACACAGGTTTATTGACAAATGAAGTACAGAGGGCATAATAAAGTATAACTCACAGCAAAATAGGAATGTTATAATGTTTCTAAATAATATGATTATTTTATAAATCATGGCATACAAATATATTGATGTGCTCATTTGCAATGGTTCCCAAACAGAGCACCACTGGTAGTATCTGTAGATGCTGTAAGATTCCAAAGTGAAATGAAATCTATGCATGCATTAAATTATCAATCGTTTGGGGAGTTCTGTGTTGGTCATTTGGGCATGTATATGTTTTTGCAGCAAAGACTTACTTTGTTGCAAAGGAAAATAAATTTGGTGTAAGAAAAGGGGTTACATGGTGTTTATTATGTCATTACTGAAAAAAATGGAAACTACTGCTGTACTTTATGGTACAAATTGTGTTTTTTCACATCTGTGGGTGAGAGACTTAACATTGTACTTATGATATACATCCTTAACCCAAATCAAGAAAAAGTATCAGCTTCTTGTTTCCTATGAGGAGAATTAAACCATGGGGTATATGCATTACAATTTATTAGTATATCTCTTTTTTATGTTTAGTAGTTTGATACAGAGTTTTATAAAATTATACTTTTGCCTCCTGTTACCATGTATTTTTCCAATTGATATAAGTTTTCATCAAACAAGCATGTATTTTTATAACCACTAAACACAAAATTAGAGAGGAAACAAACAATATCTATTATTCACCAAAGATAGATACATGACATACAATGCAAAGGGTGAGAAATTCATTCTGACGGCATCATCATAAATGGGAGAAGAGATAGGGCTTCGTTCTCTTAACGATAAAGACTTGTGTAAGGGAGAAGGCGGTTAAGGGACAGTTTCCAAAATGATACATTACATAAAATGATGTTAGCTGAAGTACAGTTCCCGAATAGTATAACAAAATAAAAGAAAGAAGACTGAGGTATAAAATATTTAAAAGGCCAGTTGAAATACTAATTCCCAAATGATACAAAAATATGTAAATAGAAACTATTGAGGGGCGACTCGCTAGTTCTAAAAGATTTTTTACATTGATCTTTACCAAATTACTTTGCTCCCTTATTGGACGTCTTATTGTAAGAGAGCACAGTAACTTCAGGTTTACATTTTGAAAGAGAAAGTGACGACTAATGGAAACCGACAAAAATATGTTAAGATAATTTAAAAAATTGTTTATCAAATTAAGAATGAAGGCAGGATAACCTTACTATTCACTTATGATTTATGTGATACATTAACCATGAAAGCTTGGTTACCTTACTTTAAAAAATTAATTTTTTTTTGTCATTGTTGTTACTATCATGAAGGGGCCGAAATCCTTTTGAGGTTATGCATAATATATGGTAAACTGATGTTCTTTTGTGTGCCATGTTATATTAATATGAACCAGTGCAAGCTACTACACTGTTAACAGTACAGTAGTTCAACTTGATGAACATGTTGACTCATAATGAAATTGGGTGATAGTCTCCCTTTAAAAGAATATAAATATATCAACAGAATAATAATGCTTGTTGTAGTAATGATATGATAATAAAAGTAATAATAATAATAATGATAATAATAATAATAATAATAATAATAATGATAATAATAACAATAATAATAACAATAATAATAATAATAATGATATTATTATTACAATGATAATGATAATAAAATCAACCAAATACAAATAATAATGAAAGGAACAGTACTAACAATCATCATTATCATTATCCTAACCATTACAAAGGATGATGGCAGTAAAACATTACACTCTAAATTATATTAGTCCTTCAGTCAGCTGGACTTCAGAAACATTTCCTTGTTAAAATTGTTTCATTGCGCAATGACTGTAGATGCGGCAGAGATTGGCCTGGGCTGGTCTTCTGGAGAGCCCAGTGGTTGTGTATCGTCATTCTTATTCCTGTAGTCATTCAACATTTGACGCTGTAATGAAAATTTTTTTTTTAGGTGTGATTGCAGGGGCTTCATATCAGCTTTTTCTATCTACCATGACTGACTTCACTGGCACACCTACTCCTCTCTCAATACATGTACCTAACTATTTCCGCCTCCTCGACTGATTGCCCTGTCTACAAGGACTGGTCAGACTGCTCGCCTGCCTCGTTAACTGTTATGCAGAGCACTACAATGCTACATTATTCCTCTCAGGGGTCACCGTAAGTCGTCCACCAATATTGCTAAGATTAGCTTCCGTAGACATGACCTCCCCCATGGAATTTATATAGGTGGAGTGTCTTGCCCTAGCCGACCATATCGATCCCTTCCTCGTCAATGTCAAAAATGTTGGCGTTTTGGGACCACAGCCCGTTGACCATTCATATTGCTCTACTCCACCAGGCTCCACACCAGTTGACCATTTGTGGTGACTCCCATAATGTATTTCATAGGAGCTGCCCTACCTATTGGCTCAAATGTGTGAGGTAGCAATTCTCAGATTCAAGCTAGGTCTCAAGATGTCTCAGCATCTCCCCCAGTATCTCTTCCCTCTACCATCCTACTTATTAGCCCTCTCTTTCTCAGTTATATTCCCTTTCCAGTCTAAATCCAGATGCTCCAATCTACCCACTTCCTCCATGCCTACCCTCCTTCTCACTTTACTTGTCGCATTAGACTATCTAAACGTTTCATCTCATCGTCTCCTACGACATCTACCCCTACTCCCATATCTTCTGCTTCTCGGACATACCCCCCCCCATCTCCTCACAAGAGAACTTTTAGTTTCTCAGACCTCTCCGCCCAACTCCTCTCCAGAAACTCTTGAAGACATCCCAAACTTCCCAAACGGCACAAGAGAACGCTCCGCTCCCTCATCCACCCTCCAAATCCCTCTATTCCTATTCCCTTTACATTAAAAATATTTGCTGATATCCATCCTCCTCCTCCTCAAGTTCCCCCAACCGATCTTCCATCAGACTCACCTTCTTTTTATATTGTCCCGAAATCGACATCCTGAACCGCCGGGATCCGAAGCCAATGCAGAGAAGAAGCACCAAACCCTGGAGGAAGAAAGAGCGTAGCATTAACCTTCTTGTTTTTATTTTTATTTTTTTTTTCTCTGTCTGTCTGTCTATCTATATATCTATATCCAACTTTTTTTCTTTCGCTTGCCCGTCACGTATTTGTTCCGCATTTCTTCCAGATTTAACTTTTTCTATTGTGAAATTTCTCATTTCCCTCGTCCTTTCTTTGCTCTCGTCTTTATTTGCTTTTTTATATCCTGTTGTTTTTTACTTTTGTTTTGTTCTTAGAGCTGTTACTTGATCATATTTTTCGCATATCGTTCTTCTTTTTTTCTCTTTTACTTGTCGCCATAGCTTCCTCTTCTGCCTTGCCATTTTTAATGGTTCCCTCCCATTTTCTTCATCTACTCTCTACTTTCATTTCTATCCCAATTGCTCTTTCATACTTTAATGTTTGTCATGATGAATGCCACATATCCACAGGACATTAGTATATCAAATAGTTTTCATCACAAACCCGTCAGGTGTACCTTCACTTCGAAGAATAACAAAAAAACTATTAACCTTCTAGTCCTCATTTTTATTTCTATATTCATTATCCCTCCTGCCTGTAGTCTTTTGCCACTTTACATACCGTGAAGCTGTTAAGTATCTCAAAGATTGGATACAGGTTTGGCATATCGTCTTCCCAGCGGATGAGGGCAGCACAGCCAATGGCCCAGGTGGTGCAGAAGTACAGGGCAAGGACGGATGATCCTATGCTGAAGGATCTATAATCTGCCAGGATGCTGCCAGTCCTAAAAGGAGAATAAAAATGTAGTCTTATAGTGTGACTGTTGTTATTCCCTCTCGTCTCTCTCTCTCTCTCTCTCTCTCTCCCTCTC